TATTGTGTCAGTACCATGATACTTATGCTGTAATACTGAAATTCATGAATTTGGTCTTTACATGGTGCTCCAAGGTACTTCCAGAAACAGCATGGTACTTTTTTTGTAAGCATATGCTGGTACCAACGCCAAACCAGCACTAACTAGCAAAAGTCTGGACTAGTATGGAAGTCCAGCAGGGTCGGAGGGTATTTCAGTGTTGTTCACTGTTTTTTATATTATCTCACAGTACATTTTGCCCTCAGAACCTCAATGAAACAAATGTTTCAGTGAAAAGACAGATGGGCCTGACAGCATCTGACTGGTGTCGTGTGATCTGTCTCAAACTGTCCTGCTCCAAATTGCCCAAGTTCTCTTTTGACAAGCCTGCCAATGTCTCTCACACCCTCTCTGCCAGTCTTACACCTTAGATTCAGGGCTCAGGTGCCTCTCAGAGAGCACAGAAATTGCATAGAGAATCAAGAGACGTCATCTGATGTCCAGAGACTTCACTTCCTCTGGAGGACACCTTTCTGGCAGACTGACATTTTCCTAATGGGACCGATGAAGGAGGTGAATGAGGGTCAGACTGAATAAATGGTCCTGCCCAGATCTCAGACACATCTAGCAAATCCGTCTGTCCATGATCGTTAGGCCAAAGCTGACTGCTGCTTTACTTTACCCATCAGACCCCTTCCACAGGACCCTGACTAGTACTAAATATCAACACAGATGAATGTTGCATATCAACCCTAAAGTGTCAGTGCTAAGTTTCTACTTGTATGGCTGTGTTTGGATTAGCATGCTACCATACTACATACTAGTATGCAAATTTGTGTACAGTTTCATATACTACTCGTATACTGTTTTTAGTGATATACACTACCATTTAAAAATTCGAGGGTTGGAGAGAAAGGAAAAAATGAAATCGCATCATATGACCCCTTTAATGTCTCTTATATCAGGCTGCATTTATTTGATCAAAAAGTATTTACAATTTACAATAAATGTTTATTGTAAGAATCCTGAATGAAATGTATTATGGTTTACACAAATATATTAAGCAGCACAACAGGAATATATATATATATATATATATATACTGTATATTCCTGTTGTGCTGCTTAATATATTTGTGAAAACCATAATACATTTCATTCAGTATTTTTGATGAATAGAATGTTCAAAAGGGCATCATTTATTATCCATTTACTCTAATGCATCCTAGCTGAATAAAAGTATTACTGACCCCAAACTTTTCAACAATACTGTATATATGTACAAACTTGAGCAATAATCAAACACACTCACCTAAACTGGCTCTCTTATCTGTTTGCTCACTTAATGATTCATTTTAGTGAATTGATTCAAAAATATTTTATGAGATTCAAACATATTTTATGAGAATAAGATTAATGAGATATCACTGCTTACTGTATACACTGTTGACTATATAATGTGTATTATTTTATATTTGCCATACATATATATGTGTATACAGTGTGTATGTGTATGTATTGCTACCTTAAATGTTCATTTTTATTTGTAGGTTAGGTAGCTGTCAAGTGTCAAAGTAGCTTCCTCAGCACTGGTAATAATACAGAATGAGTGGGTGTGTTCAAACTTTTGACTGGTATGCGCTTTTCAACTTTTTTCTATGCATATATTTCACTATGTCTTGGTGTTTTCAGACCTGGTGATTAAATGATTGAAATCACAAGCACTTACATTTAATACAAGAGCACAACGGCACAATCCAAGTGTGGGTGTGAATCAGTCTCTGAGTGATTCTCGATTCTCTATAAAACACCTCTTCATGGTGGCCCTTTCATGATAGAGTTTCTGCCCACACACGGGTGATAAAGATGGAATGATCCTTTTGTTGTCCTCGTGGCTCCTTTGGAGCTTCCTGCATCTCACCTTCCCTCCGTAGCCTCTGTCTCTTTGCCAACGTAGGTCCAAGGACATCTCTGAGATGCAAGTTCTGATAGGCTTACACAGACTAGTTTTATTTCCATTCGACCTTGATCTTTAGTAATGGCCTATCAGGTTCTTTGTATATTAATAAAACAGCGTTATTTCTCCCTGGCTTCTTTGATATTCAGTATCAAGGCTGCATTATCTTGGTACACTGGATGTTCAGAAGGATTTCATGTGAGGATTCAGGAGGAAAGGGAAGGGGGAACGGGAACAGGAGATGCATCTGATCAACTCAAGTCTTTGCATAAATTAACATGAACCCTGGGAATTGTGTTTATTTATTTATTTCCTCCCTTACCAGGTTTAATTAAGGTTCAAGCAATGTCTTTGGGATATTTGTCTGATGGAACACGAGCCCACCCTCCCGCTCTCCTACCGTTTCCAAATCCGGTCCATCTACTGGGACGCCTATTTGTGAACTCTTTCTACTGTCTTGTATTTCACGTCAGATTGCAGCAAGGGAAGAGAAGGTGAGGATAAAACGCAAGTCTTATCTTTTCACATATTTCACATATTGCGTGGGAAAAAAAAATCTTCACAGGGAGAATGATTGTGTCTCATTATGTTCACCGACATGTGGTGTGCTGTACAGCACGATGCCTCCTAAACATTACTTTTTAGCAGGAAAGGGGCTGATCAAGAACATTTTTCACAAATGTCATCAAAGCAGCAGGAAAAAACAACTGAGGAATATGTTTTCATTGTTCGGTCAGGTTATTTTTAGATGCGTTCTGCAGGAATATGAGTTAGTAGTATCGCTGGTACTTTGGATGAAAAGGCAAACATCATCATCAGAGCGCACGTAACATCTCCTGGCAAACAAGCTACAAAATAAAGAGATAAACAGGGAAATTAACAGCATACCTTAATTGCTTTAAACAAGTAACACTTCATCTTCTTCAATTAAGGATTCTTGGCTCATCTTATTATAGGCTATTAGCACTGATTATTAGCGCATGCTTGATGACGGAGGAAATGGGCCGTGATGCAGGAAGTGTCACCGGTCGTAGAGTCTGATCTGATTATCGTGCCCAACACCCACCAACCCCGTGGACTCCATTTAGACGAGTACTCGCAGGGCAGGCCATCGGGGAGGCCGTGCCATTTTTATTATTCAAATGCTGCTGAAACGCATCCCAATATTGTGGAATGAATAAAATATCCCAGGACGATTTTCCGCTGGGTATTAGCTTAACATTTCCACTCCAGCGCTCCTCTCATTGTGAAACACTGGAACATCAGTCAGCAATCTGATAGGCTGCTTTCTGCTTGTCCATTTGTCTACTTAACCCATCCCATTCCCTGTCGCCGTTAAAACAATTTCCTCTCTGACATACCAGAATAAGTATTGATTGAGGGTTTGCATTACCGGAGGTTTGGGCCCTTCACTGCTGGGACATTTTTATCATAGCTGTGTGTGCCAACTGATCACTTTAAAGGGGTCATCGGATGCCCATTTTCCACAAGTTGATATGATTCTTTAGGGTCTTAATGAAAAGTCTGTAACATAGTTTGGTTCAAATTTCTCAATGGTAGTGTAAAAAACACCTTTTTTACCCCGTCAAAAACAGCTCTTTTCAGAGCAAGCAGTTTTGTAGCATTTTCCTTTAAATGTTAATGAGCTCTGCTGACCCCGCCCCTCTCTTCCGAGCTGCTCTCTGAGGGACTGTTACTTGCTGAAACTTGCTAATTAGCATATTATTATGAAAGTCGATTTGCAAAGATTCATTACAAAACATTATACTCACTTCTCAGGCATCTGAGATCGGCTCGATTTTAGAAAGGGGTAAAGATTTTAGTAGATTAAAAAAAAACACTGGGTGGATTTTTATCATTTTAGGGTGGTTGTGTACACACACTGCCAACACACATTTCAGTTCAAACAACTTGTAAAAGTACATGTGGCATCCGATGACCCCTTTAACGTATAGAACAACTAGTTTGAAATGTGCCAAGATGTTTCTCTATGGACATTTATAAAGATGAATCAGCCGGGCTCACTTTTTTAGGCTTTTTTTAGGCTAATCTTTGAAGTTTTACGATATTAAAATATGCACTCATGTAGATTTATATGGTGTACAGAAAGCATTATATATCCTTCCCACTATTTGGGCAATAATCGTAATGTTTTTAGAGATGTGTTCTGTTTGTCCACAATCAAGAAAAAAAGTACCGCAGACACATAACTTGACAGAAGCATCTAGCATTGGTGACCGACTGACTGAACAAACATGCAAGTAAGTAATCTTAAATTTTGTGGCTACTTGTTGAACATTGTTACCTAATTAATATTCATGAGCCAAACTAATAAAGTTTAGAATATATTTATAATATACCCCTCCACTATCTGGTATAAATTGCTATAACGTTAACAGGTTAAACTTTTTTGCATAGGTCTATTCCGTGCATTAGTTGACCTACAAATTCCAGGACCATAAGCATTGAAATGGGTGAAAGTAAACATCTTCTTGATATGCAATAACATATGCATGTATGCATGCAATATTTATCAGAACAGTTAAAAAATGATATCTGATGAAACCTAAAGCATTGCCAAGTCTCAATGCCAAGACAGCGTGGAAGATCTTCAAGGCCTTGCAACTTCAGAGTGTCTTCATGAGACCCAAATTTATCAGTCCTACCAAGATGAAGGTATGGTGCATTCATATTTCATAAGGTTATGTGAAATGACCACCCTGGAAGATTGAGTTCGTTCTGCAGGCTTGGTCTACAGACTAGCATTTGTGCGCTGGACACAAAGATGTCCGAAAAGTGTCAGCTTTGCTCAATAATATGAATTATGTGATATCAAATTTATTTATTTGAATGTGATAAAACAATATCAAATTCTTAAAATATGAAGATTTGCTCCTTTATTGTGTTCTGATACCTTTCTCCCTCTCTTCTCCCATAATTTCCTGTAATTCCTTTACTCTTTCTCTCAATAAAATGATAGAAAAGCCTGAAAAATTAGCGATTAAACAATAAAACAAGCAAAAGCTATCCATCAGTAACACAAACACTGTGTTGTGCATCATTACCTTGCTGGTATGTCGATATTGGAGATGGCGTAAAAGTACTTGAGCAGGTTGTCTCTTTGAACGTATGTTCCTCCGAGCGCCGGTCTCAGCAGCCGAAGCCGCAGGTTTGTGAAGGTGAAAAAGTCTCGGAGGCCTTTCATACTCTCCATGCGTGTGTATAAGTTGCCCATGTTTTGTAATTTTGTCCCAGCAAATATGGCAAAGCGTTCCCGGACCTCGAACCGCACATTCTTCTCATTCTTGGAACCGACCCAACGAGAGTATTGCTCGGTACATATGACTCTAGTCACGTTCGTGGCCGACAGATCCTGCACCCTCTTTGGTAACATCCCGAAGCCGTCCATGCAGTCATCGGCGTAGTACTGATAAGGCTGCCAGGTTCGTCCATAATTCAGGGACTTGTCCAGCACCATTATTGTGGGCCGTCCATACTCAAAGGTTATCTGGATGTCGTCTGTTAACTCCAGGCTTTTGTTCCAGGATAAGGATATGTTGGCCTGAAGAGGCTCAGGAAAACGACTCCATGTTACAGTCTGCCAGTACGTGATGAGTTCGGTTCGCTCACGGTCTTGCATCAGCTCTGGAGGATGGGCAAGTTCTTTGGTGGACGCATCGCATTCGTCACTGCACAGGTATGGGTTTTCCTACAGACAAAAGGATGATAAAAGGTCAAATAAAGAGTGGTACAAAATTAAGGAAGGATAACGAAATAATAATAAAAAAGAAACATATATTAATTATTAAAATATATAGAGTTTGTTGCATGATTTTATAGCAAAACACTACTGTACAAAAGTTTGAGGTCAGTAAGATTTTTTTTTTAGAGAAAATAATATTTTTATTTGACAAGGTTGCATTAAATTCATCAAAAGTGACAATGAAGATGTTTATAGTGTTACAAACCATTTCTATTTCAAACAAATGCTGTTCTTTTGAACTTTCTATTCAAGAATCCTGCAAAAAAAATAGAATCACAGTTTCCACAAAAATATTAAGCAGCGCAACTGTTTTCAACATTGATGATAGGAAAAAAAAAATTCTAATCAGCATTTTAGAATGATTTCAAAAGGATAATGTGACATCAGCTTTGCCATCACGGCGAATAAATTATATTTTAAAAGACAATAGAAAATAGTTATTTTAAATTTGTAATATTTTTGATCAAATAAATGCAGCCTTGGTTAGCATAACATTTCAAAAACATAAAAAAATCTTATTGACCAATCGGATATATATATAAAAAATTTTAAATTTTAATATGTTGATTTTTAATGCAATATATATTAAAAAAAAACATTAAAATATATATCTCATCAATTTTTTAAAAGAGATTTTTATAGCTATTCATACAAAAAATGTTGATCAAACAAATGCATGAGACTTCTTTCAAAAACATTTTTAAAAAGCTCTTATTGACCAAATTGTAGCATATATAAATTAGAAAAAAAACATTTTAAAATATTTATTTTTTAATATATAAAAATAATTAAAATATATCTAATTTTTTTTCTTCTTCTTTTTTTCTCGTGTTTTATATCTATCTATCTGTGTAGATGACACCTTTCCAAAGTTCCCATCGCTACTGTAATTTCAGGGTTTGAACCTTTGCCCTAGTGACACACCAGGTGTATGGATTAGCCTACAGATTGCCATCTGGTCACCCTTGAACCCTTAATTCCCTTGTAAGTAAGCAACAGCCATCCCACACAACAAACGTTTGAGGAGTTAAAAGTCTCCGCACACGCTGCAGCCTCCAAAACTGACAGATCCATGTTCAGGGATAGTTATTGTTTTATAGCCGGCACACTTGAATGTTTCTCGGGCCAAGTGTCTTCATGGACCATTAGCTTCCATTAAGAAATAATTCGAGCTACCTGTCCCAACCATCTGGAGTACCTTAGCACTTTGATCCGTAACCAGGAAGCACCTTAGCCTATCTCAGCCCTCTGACTCAATCCTGCTGTATTTCTCCGTATCGTACAAATCCAGCCCAACTGCTGCGGCAGGTGGTTCTTAGACTAAACCTCAGCTATCCTCGCAGGAATGCCCTCACGTCTAAAGAGCAGTGCGGCTCTAAGAGAAACGTTCGCCCACTGCTTAGCAGCAGGAACCCGTGTCAGTAAACAGACAATACGACGGTTTGGTCTCCTCCGGTAGACATGTGTGGTTGTGTTGTCACTGGAGAATTCACAGCAGAGCTTGAAACAATGACTAATCATTACTGTGATCAGATCAGAACAATTACACAATTTATTGAGAAAAAAAAAACACATTGTGAATACATATGAGTGGATTCAGGGGTCCAAGTTAAAAACATCTTAATCTAGATTAATCAATGTAACTTTTGTGGAGCGATTCAATGTATGTTCAGTTCACAAATACCCCATTTCTATTTTTGTTTTGAATTTTTATTCATAAATATATATTTAAATTGTTTGCTATGACATATTTAAAAATTACATTAATATTTAATATTAATGTTCATTTTAAATATTAATTTAATATGAATAATAATTAATAAAATATACATGTAAATGGATGGCTGTGAATTTGACTAATATTTAATTATAAATTGTTCAGTTAAATAATAATAATTTATTTCAATAAAATAAATATCACAACTGATATCAAAACTGTTTGTGATGGCTGAATTACATTCCTTATTAAAATATGTATTAATATATTTTAAAATATTTTAGTACACAGATTGTTGTGATTTTTACCAATTCAATTATTAATTATTCAGTTACATAATATTTATTTATTTATTTTAATAACTTCTATTATCAAAGCTGTTTGTAATGTCTGAATTTGTTTGTGATGGCTGAATTACTTTTGATGTTTAAATATGACTATTTTTATATTTGTAAATTGGCTGCTATGAACTTTACTAACATTTAGTTTTTAATTAATCAATTAAATAATATTTAATTTAATTATTTATTAAATATTTAATTTAAATGTTTAAATATTTGTCTCAAATACTTAAAGTTAAAATATGTTCTCAAAAACAAACACAAAGATTGTAATTTCTTTTTTTTCTTTTTCTTTTTCTTGTTTTTTGAGGACAGGCTGTAAAGCACAAGCATCAGCATCCTGGAACAGCAGTGAAGTTTTTCCAGGACCCTGTGATTCCTTTTGACTTTAGCTGAATGAACACACCTTTCAATGGGATTTCCCGACCTGTCTGTATGAGTCCGTTTGTATTGCACGTTCAATATATAGTTCAACATTACCAAGGAGAATCCACATTGCACTGAGGATCTGTTTATAGGGGCTGACCGAGAAAGAAAGATGGATGTGTGTTCTTAAAATAAACAAGATGAATCAGGAGATTTTGTTAACAAAAATGGGACTCAAATAGAAAATGTTACAATGTTTCATAAGAGCAGTCACTCTGGTAGTATGAAATGTTCTGACCACGGTTAACAAGCTGTGAAGAGCAGGTACTAGACTCGTGGAGACCGGACCGACCGCTAGTCTTGTACCTGGAGAGGTGGCCCTCTTTTTTTCTGTGGCGTGAGTTAATTACAATGAAGCCAGCTCCCTCTGGACATCCAGTCATATAACAGCTGGCGCTGAACAGCTTCAGAGGGATACAGTCGCTTAATTATACCAGCCAGAAAGTGTCTTGCACAAGAGTTTCAACTGTCCCAGAGAGTGCCAGAACAGGGCTTTAATATGCAAATATATTATCAACCCATTTTTAGCTTATTTAGTCAACTTAGTAATGTTTCTGATGTTTAATGGATTTGGAGTGCCTTTCAAATGCATTTCAGATGCGTTTTCAGACTGTTTTTAAGCTTGGTTTGATCACTGAATGAGAGTTTGATTTCTATGGAAACTTATTTCTGCCATGGAATTTAAAAAAAATTTAAATATATGACTTTTTATCTCACAATTCTGACTTTTTCGAGCTAGCATCTTAATCTTCACACCAAGAACGATAACTATAAAGATAACTATAAAGATAACGATATTAGCGTCCACACCAGCGAACAATATCGTCTGTTTATTCTAAGCACACGTGCGTCTGCCGCTTTAAATTCTCAAGCTTGTTATGGCAGGATGGGTTCTGATTGGCTGTCAATGTTTTTATCGTTCATCAACTGGAAAGAATCCAGTGTTGCCAAGTTTTCCCGCGGAATTGGGCTACTTTGTTGCCGCGGGTTGTTTTTCATGTCGGCGGGTTGAAGCGACTCCAATAACATGATATTTATCCCCTGGAATGCAAATTTTAGCAGGGGAACCCCGCCAAACAAATGTGTATTTTACCCCCCGGAATGCGATTTTTAACTGGAGACCCCTTCAAAACGCGATTGGGCTAGTTTTGAGTAGCGACTGGGCGGGTTTTCTTGTGAAAACCTGGCAACCCTGAAACAAAGCGTTCTGAAAATGATTCCAACGATATCGTTTCTCTGTGCCTTTATCGTTATAATTGTGGTGTGGACTCTGCTATTCCTTAATATTGAGAACGATTTTTAGAACTATATCTTTATCGTTATCTTTATACTTATCATACTTGGTGTGAACGGGGCTTTACAAATCTGACTTTTTTCAAATTATAACTCACAGTTCTGAGTAAAAAAGTCTAAATTATGAGATGTAAACTCACAACTGTAAATTTATAACTTGCAATTCTGAGGAAAAAGATCAGTATTTCAAGATTTAAACTTGTAATTTCAAATATAAGTTTGAAATAAAAGTCCAAATTATGAGATAAAAACTCACAATTATGAGTATATAATTCACAATTCTGAGGGAAAAGTTTTTGAGTTTCTGAATTGCGAGATGCAAACTTGCAGTTACAACTTTATAACTCAAAATTGTGAGAAATAAACTTGCAATTTTGAGGGGAAAAATGTCAGAAATCTGAGATGTAAACTCACAAGTGCAATTTTATAACTTGCAGTTGTGAGACATAAACTTGCAATTCTGAAAAAAAAGCCTGAATTGTGAGATGTAAACAAAATGACCAGATTTATAAAATTAAAACCAAGGACTTGTCCATTTTAGCATTCAGCATATCATTAAAATATCTAATGTTATTATCCCAAAAAAAAAAAAAAAGTCCTATGTCAGTTTGACTATGTTTGTAGTATTTGTCCAATTGTCCCTATGGATTTACCATCAAAACTACACACAGAACGGCACTTCTGTCATCTGTCTTCTGCGAGACGCATTGCAAGTGAAAGTGAGCTGCTCGCAGAAGGCAATTTATTCACAGACAAGCAGCTTTGAGAAATGCATTACAGACTATAAGTGTGACTTGAGTGTGTGCAAAGATACGAATTATAACTGATCAATAACGTTTTGCTTATGCAAGTCAGAATGCTTTCATAACATTCTGTACAGTACTGCCATTTACATGAACCACCTTTCAGAAAAACTGCATTCACACCAACCAAGCGAACCAGACTTTGGTCCACGCCAAAAGCTATAGGAAAGTGTCTTTTCATTGTGATCAATGCTCTGTATAAGAGAGATATATTTTAATCTGGAGAAATTATGTTGGTGTTTGAAATGTTTTTTTGATACAGTCAAAAAGGACAGGGCTTAATTGCAAAAACAATACAAGAATGAGCATGCTGTTTTTGAAACAACTAAAGAAAGCAATATGGGGAATGCAAATTACTACATGAAG